TTGAAGAGTCGTGTAGACACAGTGCTGAGGGACATGGGTTAGTCACAGGGGACTTGTCAGTGTTGGGTTCATGGTTGGACTTGATGATCTTCAAGGTCTTTTCCAGTTGAGGCAATTCTGTGATTCTGTGAAAGCGTCATTCATGTCTCTGGACAAGCCCTGGTGCCCACAAGATTAATTTGGAAGTATTTGTGAAGCTGGACTGGGGTTGCTTCTACTTCTGTATTTGCAGAACACAAGGGGAGAGGGTGGTAAAACCCTGGCCCAGGTTGCCCAGAGAGGTGGTAGAAGCCCCATCCCTGGAAACATTCAAGGTCAGGTTGGACGAGGCTCTGAGCAACCTGATCTGGCTGAAGATGTCCCTGATCACTGCAGGGGGGTTGGACTAGATGACCTTGAAAGATCCCTTCCAACCCAAACCATTCTATGATTCCATCATTCTCCTGGACTCCAGTTTGCTGAAGCATCAGCCTGGTAGAGCAGGAACTACACAGAAAGTTTGGCCACATCCACCTGTAGATGGAAGTTCTTTTTCTCCAGGAGCAGCAGCTCACACCAGAGCACCCCATGTGAACCAGACATTACATTTCTTACTACAAGATGTAGTTCTATCTCTGCAGGAACTGGCCCAGAGATAAAAACTTGTGTTATTTACTTTCACCCATGAGATGGAGTCATCAATTTCCAAAAAAACTCTTCTTTTAGCATTTATTTTGCCCAAAAGTTTAATAAAAAAAAAAAAAACCCCTCAAACTTCTGTGAAGGATGAAAAATATGTTTAGTTTGAGGTTTTTTTTGTTAATAATTTCAATTGAAAAATTAAAGAGTAGTTGGAAACGTGTTTTCCTTCTGTTTTGGGGGGGGGTTTTTGACACTTAAGAGGAGGTTTTCAGATGATCTGTTTAAAAGCTGTTCTTCCTCCATTCCAAACATTCAAGCTTTGAGACAAGTACACAGGTTTACCAGAAAACACACGTGTGGGGAAAAAAAACTATATATATATATATATATATACTGCTTTAATATTTGTACTGACATATTAGGAATGAAAATGTGCGAGAAGAAATCACCCTTTCAAGGAGAAATTGCCCTTTCAAGAAGAAATCACCTGTTTGTGACTTGTACTGTTAGAAAGCAGCTATTTCTTCTTGACAACAGGGGTCTTATTAGGAGGAGGAAAAGTTGTGTTTCTTTTATATGTATATATATATTTTTTTAATATCTATTTCCTCAGAAACATGGCAAAAAGGATCAGTCACCCATCCCTGGCACCTGTGGGGCAAGAAGCCATTGAAGCATCGCTGAGAAACCAAGGAGCTGCCCAACCCTACCTCCCCCCCCCAGCCAGTCCCATCTCTCTTGTTAAAATACAAATTTTTATGGAGAAGCAAAGCAAATAAATAAGTGACATTTATTAAGGGGAAAAAAAAAAAAAGGGAAGTTATTTCTATAAATAACAATATAAAAGTGATATACAGTGTTTTGGGTCAGAAAGAGACACAATAAATTATCCTGAGCTGACGGGGACGTGGTGCCAGGTACCCTGGGCAGAGCTAGGAAGGTGAGGTGACAGCATGGAGCTGCTGACAGACAGAGAGGAGGAGGGTCGAGTGCTTAGTCCTGACCCCTCCAAACCTTCCCACCCACCAGAAATAACTGCACCGGGTGGTTACAGATGTTCTCACCCAACACTCCAGGTGCCTGTTTCCCAGGGCACCTGGATGTATAATGAGGAGAGAACAGAGCAGCTGCTGTCTGGGCCAGAATCAGCACATCTGGATGAGGGGCAGGGGGTCGTCTGAAGGACCAGAGGTGTTTGAAAGCTCCTTTTTTATAACAGCCCTGGATCCCAGCACCTCAGCCAGCCCAACTGCCTCGCTCCCTGCAAGCAGCAGCAGCGTGTACACTCCTTGGTGTGATGTCAGGCAAAGACAGAAGGTTGAGAGACCCACCAGGTTCTGTTCTCTGGGTTTGGGAAGCTAAAACAAAGGCACAGATTCATCAAGGCACAGGACAAGAGGAGGCACTTGTGTTCCAGGAGCAGGATCAGCCCCTGTTCATCTGATTACAAGAGTAATGACACAGTTTGCAGGTGGGATCATAGAGCTTTCCAATTTTTGGTTTGGTTTGGGTTTTTTGGGTTTTTTTTTTTGGTTATGATCTAAGCTTTAAACATGGGGAGCTTAGAAAAGTGGTCAAGTGGACCAGGGAAAAACAATCAAGGTTGATTCTCCTCCCAGCACAGGTCTCAGGACCTCCTAGGAGCACACACAGCCACACACAACACAAGTGACCCCGTGTTCATCAGAGACACTGTCTGATTGTCACCCCAACCTCTCTGCTGAAAACTCTTGGTGCATCCTGGTGCTTCAAGAGCAAACAGGAGATCACGTGCCTTTGCTACAGCTATGGCATCGTCAAGGACAACCAGCCTGGTGATGAAACCCCAGGAATTAGGGCACCAAACAGCCGCCAAACAATATTTGAGGGGGGAGGTTCCTCCCATCCAGCTGCAGGTTGTCCTGTAGCTCCAACTCTCAAATCGAGAGCATAATGTCTCACTTGGACCAAAGAAGCACAGACATCCCTGCATCCCCACTATCTCCATCTCCATCAAGCAGAGACGTCTGAAAAGAAACAACAGTGGCAACTGAATCTCATCAGCTGTTCAAAGCTCAACATCCACAGTGTCCTCTTCATGGTCCTTGATGTCCGTTGAGTCCGCGGTGGCAGGCTGGATCACCCCAAACTGTGACAGCTTTGCCGCCTTCTGCTCCATGCTCTGCTTTCTCCATTTGATCCTCCGGTTCTGGAACCAGACTTTCACCTAGCAGGAAAAAAAAAATCACACAACAGTTTAATCCAAGGTCTCCAGGAGCCCCTTTCCAGTGGTGGCCATTGCCATGTGCTTCTGAGGCAGATGTCCCCAAAAAGCAGAGTTCCTTAAAGAGGGGGACGTGCCTCTTCTCAGATTGGGCAGTGCACGTGAGCAGGAGGAGGAGGTGACACTATGATGGGCAGAATGGTGCTGGGAGAAAGGACCAGGGGAGAGGGGGATGCAGCTGCACAGAAGAGGTTCTGGCTGGAGAAGTGAAGGAGGTGCCTCCATCATCTCCCATGAACCATTGAACCCATCTCTGGGGCCACAGCTGGCAGAGAGCTGGGTGAGACACCCACCTACCCCCTGCTCCCTGTGGTGTTCACACCCCCCACCCTGATCCTCCAGAACCACCCTTGCTTCGCTCTCCCCTTTTCCCCAACAACTGAATTTGGATCCCACCACAGAAGATCACGTGGCTCTTTCCACAAGAAATAAGCAGCTTGTAGTGGGAGGGAAAGAAACTTACTGGGAAGAGCAGGAAAAAACAATGTAGATCCAGCGTCACAAAAGGACACTCACAGCATAACCTGTCTCCAGAGGGTGACAACAAGAGATACATGATCAATGTCTATCAAGATCTGAAATGTGGGGGCCAAATGGATGGGGCCGGGCTCTTCTCGGTGGTGCCCAGTGCCAGGACAAGGGGCAATGGGCACAAACTGGAACACCAGAAGTTCCAGACAACCTGAAGGAAAAACTTCTTTCCTGTGAGGGTGTTGGAGCCCTGGGACAGGCTGCCCAGAGAGGGTGTGGAGTCTCCATCTCTGGAGATGTTCAAACCCACCTGGACACTTTCCTGTGCAACGTGGTGTAGGGAACCTGCTTTGTCAGGGGGGTTGGACTGGATGATCTCCTGAGGTCCCTTCCAACCCCCACCATTCTGGGATTCTGTGATTAGTCCAACCCAACTCAAACTCCAAAGCAAACAGGTTTGAGCTCCTCAATGCTTTTTGCTCCACTTCATGGATTAAGAAAATGATGTTCTTATTGATAAACCATCTAAACTTATCTCACGTGCCTTCAATGTCATCTTGCAGCAAGGAGTCCCACAGGTCACTTTGCATTATGTCCTCCTCCTGTTGCACTTCACAGCAGGGGGAATCACCACAGACCAAACCCAAACTTGGGATCTCTGCCACCATCCCCAGCTTCTCCATTTCTTACCTGAGTCTCTGTGAGATGCAGAGTTGCAGCCAGGTCTACTCGCTCCGTCCCCACCATGTACTGCTGCTTGAGGAACTCTTGCTCCAGCCGCTCCAGCTGCTCTGGTTTGAAGACCGTGCGGACCCTCTTCATCTTACAGGGCCCCCCAGACCTCCAAGGCACAGCAGGACCCAATGAGTTGGCCCCTACACAGTGAGACAACTCCAGACCTGCAAGAAAAGAAGAAGCAATTGAAGAGGTCTTCATGTTTGAGGTCATCTCTCCAGCCTTGTTCAGTGCTTCCTCTCCCATGAGAGGTTGGAGCAGATGATCTTTTGAGGTCCTTTTTCCAACTTAATTCTATAGGTACACAACCTAGGAAAGTCCTGGATGTGCAGCCAGACCCAAAGAAGTCAACACTCAATGAGGCAAGTGGGGTTTGACCTCCATCTCTATAGAATAAAGTCCATGGAGAGCTGCCGAATGCAAACAGCCCACCTCCATCTCATGAAGCTCCTAACCTCAAGGTTGAGGGAGTTTAGCCCCTGATTTTACCCTTCCCTCAGCACCCGTAGTCAACCAGTGTCCAGGAGAAGACACTGAAGCTGGTAGACTGGCCTGATGAAGACAAGAGTCACCAGCCCTCCTGCAGGTCCTTCACCCTGGACCTTAAGTTTTTTGGTCTCAGTAGTTTGAACTGATCCGTAAAGTACCTCAATCCATAAAGTTCCTCACGTGCAGAGGAATTAGCAGGACTGACAGGTGGATCTGGTCTCCTATCTAGTTGTGGCCTGATGATAACCATAATTACCTAATTAACATACAATACAACACCAGCGCAGTCAAGGACCAGCCGGCACCAGCCCAAGATCATGTTGTCTCCCATTGCTAAATCTGCCAGCAGAGATGGATTCACACATCTCCATGTTCACAAGGACACATCTCCATGGTCACAAGGACACATCTCCACAAGGACACATCTCCACATGTTCACAAGGACACATCTCCATGGTCACAAGGACACATCTCCACAAGGACACATCTCCACATGGTCACAAGGACACATCTCCATGGTCACAAGGACACGTCTCCACAAGGACACATCTCCACATGTTCACAAGGACACATCTTCATGGTCACAAGGACATGTCTCCACAAGGACACATCTCCACATGGTCACAAGGACACATCTCCATGGTCACAAGGACACGTCTCCACAAGGACACATCTCCACATGTTCACAAGGACACATCTTCATGGTCACAAGGACATGTCTCCACAAGGACACATCTCCACATGGTCACAAGGACACATCTCCATGGTCACAAGGACACGTCTCCACAAGGACACATCTCCACATGGTCACAAGGACACGTCTCCATGTTCACAAGGACACGTCTCCATGGGCACAAGGACACGTCTCCACATGGTCACAAGGACACGTCTCCATGTTCACAAGGACACGTCTCCACATGTTCACAAGGACACATCTCCACATGTTCACAAGGACACATCTCCATGTTGACAAGGACACATCTCCATGTTCACAAGGAGCATGTAACTGCTACCAACCACCCCCCGAGGAGCCACAGGGCTAGTCCCAGCCAACTCTGTCCTCCTAAAAGACCTTCACACCAGCCAGGTCTCACTGCCAGGAGGACAGCAGAGTGTGGACATCAGTCAAAGGCTGAGGAAAGGTGGCTGCAATCATCAAGGCAAAAAACCTTCTCCCTCCAAGATGCTGGTTCTGGAGTTATGTGCACAGGAACAATAGCGTAGACTTTGCACATCTGGAGGGACAATCGAGCCCTTCCTGCTTAATGCCAAAAGCTGCTGGTTTGGAGACTCTTGCTCCTGTTCTGAACCTCAGAAAATCTCCAAGCAGTGGGACCTGCCTGCCCAGGTGAGATCACTGAGTATCACAAAAACACCTCCAAGGATCAAAGGACAACCGAGAAGGTATTAGGAAGCAGATGAGGCCAGCACCAAGGTGTGTCTGATCATAGAATCATTAAGGTTGGAAAAGATCTCTAAGATCACCAAGTCCAACTTGTCAACCCAGCACCACCATGGCCACCAAACCATGTCCCCAAGTACCACATCTACATGTCCTTTAAATCCCTCCAGGGATGGTGACTCCACCACTGCCCTGGGCAGCCTGTTCCAATGCTTGACTACCCTTAATGGTACCACAGCTTCTGTCCTGACAACACCCAACTACACGCTCAACTTCACCAAAGAACCTGCTAGTAGAGCCAAAGGGACTTCTCTGGGTGGCAAACGTGGTGGGCAGCATGGATTTGCAGGATCAGGTCATTAAGGTTCCCCACCATTGCTGTTCTGAGATCTCAGCCCCTGGGCAATGTGACCTCTCTGAGATCAGCTCTGCTTTGAGGGCAGGTTGGATCCATCAAGGACATGTGACAATCACAATATATCATGGTTAGCTTTGCTTTGAGGGCAGGTTGGATCTGTGAAGGACATCAGGCAATCATGATATATCATGGTCAGCTCTGCTTTGAGGGCAGGTTGGATCCATCAAGGACATGTGACAATCACGATATATCATGGTCAGCTCTGCTTTGAGGGCAGGTTGGATCCGTGAAGGACACCAGACAATCACGATATATCATGGTCAGCTCTGCTTTGAGGGCAGGTTGGATCCGTGAAGGACACCAGACAATCACGATATATCATGGTCAGCTCTGCTTTGAGGGCAGGTTGGATCCGTGAAGGACACCAGACAATCACGATATATCATGGTCAGCTCTGCTTTGAGGGCAGGTTGGATCCGTGAAGGACACCAGACAATCACGATATATCATGGTCAGCTCTGCTTTGAGGGCAGGTTGGATCCGTGAAGGACACCAGACAATCACGATATATCATGGTCAGCTCTGCTTTGAGGGCAGGTTGGATCCATGAAGGACACCAGACAATCATGATATATCATGGTTTCTTTAATTTTGATGGAAATACCACAATGACATCAATTCACACCTTCTCACGTCCCCGTGACTGATGTCATCATGTTCTCCACCCACAAATGAGCACCTTGACCTACTTCCTTTCACTAATTGCATATAAATTCTGCAGACATTTAAGGACGGGTGGGATGGAGACCTGACACATGAACAACCACGACTATATTCCAAAATTGAACTATTTTTCATGGTGACAATAATTTCACCCGTCACTTTTATCTCCATTTTAATACTTAGATCATCCCAAGTGTCATCTCCAACGTGAAATACGTTGTGGAAACGGCTTTGCTAATTATTGAACTAATTAATTAATATTTTCATCCCTGTTGATTTGATATAATACAAAGATGGACGCGCTATGCACATGCCGTCTCGTAAAAGGAATTAAGAGATTAATTAGTTAAACTAAAGAAATAAATTAAAAAATGATTAATTAGTTAAACTAAAGAGATTTAAAAAATATATATATCAAGAGTAGCAAATATTTTTGGTATGTGAATGTTGTGGCTGTTGGAGTCAAATCAGGGTTCCTTGTACGAGTAAAATATGGGCTTGGCTGCAGGTTTCACCTGGAGAACAACGAGGTCAGGCTCGGAATGCTAATAAAATAATTAATTTCAATTAAAATATTCAGAGTAGAGGGACTGTATTAAAATAAAGTGGTTTGGCTTATCAAAAGTTGGAGTGAAAATATAGAGCTTGATGGGTGAGCTGATGTCATAGAATCCCAGATGGGTTTGGGTTGGAAGGGACCTTCAAGCTCATCCAGTTCCAACCCCCCTGCCAACAGCAGGGACACCTTCCACTAGACCAGGTTGCTCAAAGCCTCATCCAATCTGGCCTTCAACACTTCCAGGGAGGAGCAGCCACAGCTTCTCTGGCCAACCTGGGACACTGTCCCACCACCCTCACAGTGAAGGGTCACCCATCACCCCCGTGTAAATTTCACCCAAAACAACAGCAAAAACCTTTTTCTTGAGGTGCTTTTGCACTAAAACAAATGGAATTTGGGGGCTGGGTGCTGCGAAACACTCAGTGGTTTCACTTCCCAGTAAAGAAATCACAGGGAGAGTGAAATTACAGATGGACCAGGGTGGGTTTGGGAGAAGAGGAGACCCCAGAGGAGAGGAAAAGGGTGTTGGCATGGTGGAGAAGTTCCTCTTGGGGCTGAGGATTTGGGGGATTGTGGGAGGTTTTTGCAGGTGTGGTGAAATCAGAGTCACCACCGTGGCATTTCTAGTGCGTGGAAAGAGAAATAAACGGGCAAAGCAAACCCAAAATGAGGTGGGGGGACTGTCCCTGACCTGAAACCTTCTCCTGAAGTCAATCCTGAAGGAGGTAAATGGTGTCATTAGGGTCTCAGGTCACCCTGTCCCCTGTGTGGGGGGTACATGGGGAGTTACCCAGCACTACAGAGGGGAAAAGAATTCTGAGGAAACTTTTCCCTTCTTCTCCTTCATTTCCCACAGCCCCAACCCAGCTCCTCTCCCAACCCAGCTCCTCTCCCAACTCCCAACCCAACTCTCCCAACCCAGCTCCTCTCCCAACCCAACTCCTCTCCTAACTCCTAACCCAACTCTTCCAACCCAACCCAGCTCCCCAAACCCAGCTCCTCTCCCAACCCAGCTCCTATCCTAACT